AAACGTTTCATTAGAGAAGAACCCGTCCAGAAGACCTATACAATATTTTTCTTTTTGATTTTTTACCTGGATTACTGAGATGCATCAGGATATATTAAGATGAAGGGTTTTTAAATCAGAAATTAATTTGGAGGCAGGTCTCTGAATGGGTAGATTGTGGAGTGCTGGTACATTTTTGATAAATTGAAATGATTTTGGATGAAAATACTGACTGTTTTACATATATTAATTTGATGAATTGTACGGTCAGTAGGTGGGGTTTGGTGAAACAGACACTAAAAGGTCAGGCTGCAGAAAAATGCTGAAACTGGTTAGTTATAAGCTTGTTTAAAGAGGTGTGTTTTCAGATATTTCTTGAATGAATCATTGTGAACATTGTCCACCATCACAGAGGCGGTGGAAAAGCTCTCTGTCTGTCTGTCCATTACGTTTCAGAAAGCTGTAACTTTCACACCCTAATCAGGAACAAATTGTGTCAGAACATAGACAAGAACTTCATCTCACTTGCTTTCAAGCACAAAGAGGTTTTACTGAAAGGCGTGCTCATGGCAGTGCGGCGATGTCAGACATCACACCAATGACATTCGTTTGGCTCTAAATTTCACATGTTTCAGCCAATCTGTACCCATTTCACTATGGTGGGTCCTAATCCACCCCACTGCAGGAATGTAGTCCAATTTTCTGGAGGGTGTGGCCTAATCAGACATCTCGCCATTGGCATATGGTTGGCTCTAAATCACACATACATGATCCGATCTGAACCAAATTTTGTGTTCATCATACCTGCTCAACATGTTTGTATAGTAATTTAACATCTCCCCATGAGTCCATCTCTTCATCCTGGGAGATTATTGAAACAATGAAGGCCTGTGATGATCCCAACTAAACTAACAGTTAGTCACTGAATGGCAGTGGGGTATCAGTGATGGTTGTGTCGAGTTCTACCTTGCTTTAAAGGGGCAATATCATGTAAAATCAACTTTTTTGAGTTTTATATCATGTTATAATGTTAGACTCTCATAAAAACATGTCCAAAGCCTTGCTCTGACTCATTCATCATGTTTGAGAAATCCTGCGGTGTTTTAAGAAGCCATGCTGAGGAGCAAAACGACAGGTGGGGACCAGAAACACCTTTTGGTACCAGGAACACCTTTTGGTACCAGGAACACCTTTTGGTACCAGAAACACCTTTTGGTACCAGAAACACCTTTTGGTACCAGGAACACCTTTTGGTACCAGAAATACCCCTGGGACTTGTCTTTAAGCTGAACTTATTCATGGCAGAGCCCCCCCCGCCCATGACTCCTGCAGGCTCTCGGAGAAGGGGTTATCTGCGGAATCAAAGTGAGCGTGTCACAAGAGTGGGCGTGTCACAAGAGTGGGTGTGTCTAAAGCATAAACACTGTGGGCTACGAGGCCTACATGACGGTATCCTTAGACCCTGCTTGACCTCTTCACAGCCTGACCCTGACCCCAACACTAAGGTTAATCAAGAGAAATGTGACCCAAGAAGTGGTCTCCATAAAAAGTGGTGCTGTACAGTAACGCCCCTTTTGTTCTTGTCCAATCAGGTGGTGCCGTACGGTGACACCCCTTTTGTTCTTGTCCAATCAGGTGGTGCCGTACGATGACGCCCCTTTTTTTGCTTGTCCAGTCAGTTGTGTCCCTTTGAAAAAGTCCATCAAATCAGGTGTGTCGCTTTAAAATTGCCTTTCATTGTGACACGCCCACTCYTCCACAGAGACCCCTACTTGGGCTCTTGGGTCAAATGAAAGTGAAACTGAAACTGTCTGCTGCTCTTAACACTACTTCTCACTCAGTGAAGCTCTTTTCAGATTAAAAATACCTTTGAGGAAATGTATTTTCAATGCCAAGTAAACAGCATCATAGCAAACCCCCTCCACCTTGCGAGCGCGACCCCTCCCCCCCTGAAATGGGCGGGACAGAAGCGGAAGGCGGTTCTTAAAGAGACAGAGGCCAATTTCAAGGCGTTTAGAAGAGGAAGTGATGAGAAGATAAGTTTATTTTCTATTTAAACATAAAAACAACATTTTAATAACAGCTAAAGGTGACATAGATACTTTATTATGGTATAGTATTTAAACATATGCCTGAGAAACACATAATATTGCCCCTTTAAATAGCATGTGCGTTACATTACAATATTTATATGTACTTATAAAATGTACAGTTAATTTTGGAATGTTCCATTTAATCGGATTATCTTTTTGCTTGTTATTTTTCCCGCAGTTGGATGTGCTTTTAATTTGAAATGCGGACCTGCCTCTTGTTCCTGCTCCCTTGCTTTCAGCGCGTGACTTGACGCTGCTCCCTGTTGAGAGCAGAGCTCCAGCCTCCACGCGCGGCCGCTGCGCGTTCCGTCCGTCCACAGGCTCCTCGGGCCGCCGTGATGCTCAGGTTCGGACGGCCCCGCTGAGCCGGCAGAGCCGCTCCTCCTCTTCACCACTGCGGAGGATGGTGACGGCAAACGGGTGGTTTTAACTTAGGATTGTTTTTCTTCTTCTTCTTCTTCTGCGAGGCGCCTTTGAACTGGTGAGGATCCGCCGCCGTCGCGCGCGTGCACGTTCACCTGCTCGGCTCCACAGGTAGGATGGAGCGGTTCTGCTGCTGCCACAGCTCGTTTATGAACAAGTTATGACCAAGGTGGAGTCTTTATCTGCTCTGAAACTGACTGATTTATTTAGCTTTACTTCCTGACGTGACGTCATCATCAATAGGTGTTTGTTGACCTGTATGATCAGCTGCAGCAGCTTCAGGTGTTTGAGAGGCTCCTGCAGAGAGCTCTGCTGCTGCAGGATTACCTGCTTTAACATGTGCAGTGACCTTCACCAGACCAGGCCTGTGTGTTAGCAAAATATCTCGCAAACCTGAGGGCTGTTAATGAAACTTTCAGGTCATCTATCACTGATTACAGAGACAAATAACCTGGATAATCAGTGAGAATAAACAAACAAACAAACAAAACAAAGAAATGACACCCCATTGTTATACGTAAGTTGAGTAGAATCAGTTCTGCCAGGTAAAATATGTTGATAATTATGACACTTGTAGGAAAATGAATTGGACTTGAATTAAAAAAAAACTATTAAAAACTAGAGAAATTGCATTTACAGCAAAAATGCTAATGTGAATGCCTGTAGCTGAAAACTTTAGCTGAAAGCTGCTAGGGGTGTAAGAAAATGTCGACACACTGAAATATCACGATATTTCATTTCCCGATACTGTATRGATATTCTAAAGCCCTGTATCGATTTTTTATATTAAGGTTTAAAATGTCAACTTTCCTGCCAGCCGTTCATTTTTATGTTGTAGTTCAGCCTCTGACCACTAGTTGGCAGCAGTGAGCCATGCTAATGCTTCCCTAACTCTCTGGTGCTCAAGAGGTAGAGGAGCCAAATGGCTGGCTCACTGCTGCCAACTAGTGGTCAGAGGCTGAACTACAACATAAAAATGAACGGCTAGTTGGCAGCAGTTAGCCAGCCATTTAGCTCCTCTACTCCTTGAGGTGTTTGGTGACCATATTGTAAATTAATATTAAAAACTAAAAGCTGCAAAAAATATATTTTCAACCTATTTATTGGCAAATTTAGTCTAATAATTGAAAACATGGATGAAATATGAAACAAATAAAATAAAACACATACAAAGCAGAACACAGCTAAATGTATCAAAAGTATGTCTGTAATATTAGAATTTTCTGAGACGAAGTTTGTTTTTCATTTTTCCCCTATAAGAGGTTTTTATTTAATAGAATTTTTGGACCAAAAAATCGCAATATATCGCCTTGCTTACAGTATCGCAATATATCGGGATATATCGTATCGTGACCCCTCTGCCATGATATGTATCGTATCGCCAAATTCTTGCCAATACACAGCCCTAAAAGCTGCTGAATAAGCTGAAATTGAGCTGAACATGTTAAACATGAAAAGCTGAACGAAGCAAAAAAAAAAAGGCAGAAAAACAGTTAAAAGGAGCAAAAATATGGCTGAATTAGCATAAAAAGCTAAAAGCTAAAATAGCTGAACACAGCAGAATGCAGCTGTATGAAGCATAAACAGCATAGATTAGCAGAAAAAGTATAACAAAGTAGAAAAACACAGATTTGCAGAATGAAGTAAAATTTTAGCTGATATAGCAGCAAAAAGCTAAAATTAGCATAAAAAGCTAAAGGTAGCAGACTCAAGTTGAAAGTTGAACACAGATGGTGAAATGGATGTAACAAATTCTAAATTAACAGAAAAAAAACAAAAGTACTAAAAAGTGATCATTTTAAGTAAGGTAAAACAGCCAAAGTTTTTAGTAAAACAGCTAAAAAGTAGCTGGAAACATTTTACTTAGCATAAGGATGCATAAAGGGCAACAAGTTTGCTGAATTTAGCAGAATTCAGTTGAAATTGCTCCAGAAAAAGGTGTAATTAGCATAGAAAGCTAACTGTGGCTAATAACAGCTAAAATTTAGCTAAATTTGTAGCAAATAGCTGAATATAGAAGAAAGAAATGTAAGAAACATAAAAACAGCACAAATTAGAAAAAAGCATAACAAAGCAGAAAAAGGCAGAAGAAAAGCAGAAAGAAATAATTTAGCTGGAATAGCAGAAAAAGCTACAATTAGTAAAAAAAAGTAGCTAAAATTTGCACAAGACAGTAAAATAGAGCATAACCAGAACAAATTGTGTAAAGTTTTGTAAAGATTTTGAAACTATTTGAAGGATATTAATGTTGTTGAAAATAGTCCCATTCAAAGTCAATGGGCAAAACGTGGCTAAAAAGTTGAAATAGCTAAAAAAGTAAATATAGCTGAAATACCAAAAATCATAGCCGGCATTGCACGAAAGAGCTCAACGTTTTTATATATGAATGGTTGAAGTAGCACAAAAATTGTGGAATGAGAAAGGTGCCGAAAAACGTATGGAAGAAAAAAAATGATCTCAGTGGTGTGAATGCCATATAGCCATTCACACAATAATTCACTTGTAACCTGATCAAAGATTAACCTGAACCTGCGATTAAAAAACCTCTTCCTGCTAGAATAAAAGGTCAAAGATTAAATCTTATTAACCTCCTCTCTTCATGTCCTTAGCATCTGTGGACGTTCATGTGGGCAAATCAGCCTAGGTATTTATGCTTTAGTGGTGGGATTTTAAATTAACATTCTGATAAATTTTGAAGCGATGTTCTGTAAATGTTCTGTAACATTTCTGATACTATTTATGTTCTGTAAATGGTCTGTAACTGTAATGATTGGGTAAATGAGTTTCACTGAGATGCCAGACACCAAAGCAGTTTTAAAAGTTTTATTTAAAAACAGGAAGCTGGATCTGGAAACGCATGTCAAGGGGACCAGGAGCTCTAAACAAGAGAGGAAAAGGTTAGTGGCTGGATTAAACAGAGGGACGGATCTAGCATAAAATTGAGCCACTAACCTTTTAAGAGAACGCTTGGTCCTGAGCGAACTCTTGAGTGACGTGGAAAGCATCGGGTGGTGTCCAGTGACACTTCTGTGTTTGGAGAGAAACCTCCGATGGGACTTAAAGGTCCAGGGGTAATCCATGGGACAGGCGGGGGTCATACACAGGCAGACTGAGGGCAGAACCAGGTTAGAAGGAGCAGACTTATCTCGTGGTTGGAGCAGAGGAGAGGTGGTCGTAATCCAGGAGTCAGAAGGCAGAACAGTACCGATGGAGAGCGAGGCAGGAGGCAGAAATCCAGAGTCCAGAGTGGGGGTCAAAACCGGGAGGACAGAGTCTAGGATGGTACCATTTAGGGGCAAAGTGAGAGACGAAGAACCAGTGAGGAGAACCAAGGTCGAGACGAGGCAGGCAAGATGTGACATGAATGCTGGATAACTACTAGGCTGAACTGTTCATAAATCTGGCACTGGAGCTGTGGATGAGAGGAGCTTAAATGCTGCTGATCACAGGTGAGAGGCATGACGTTGATTGAGGTTGGCTGAGATGGGAGGGGAGAAACAATTAGGAGATAATTGACTGTGACCGGACTAGGGCAGGAAACAGACGTGATTCATGACAGTACCCCTCTCTTAAGGTCCGGCTCCTGACGGACCTCCAGGTTGATTGGGGTGGTCTTTATGAAACTGGACATTGAGGGACTTAAGACATGACGTGCGGGCACCCAGGAGCGTTCTTCAGGGCCATAGCCCTCCCTGTCGATGAGATACTGGATCCCTCTACCCCAGCGACGAGAATGCATGATGCGTCGAACGGTGTAGGCAGGACCGCCATCAATGAGTCGGGTGGGTGGAGGGGGCCTGGAGGAGGGAACAAACTTGGATACCCCGACAGGCTTGACCCGGGACACATGGGTGGATCTTCATGGGGCTGGGAAGTCTCAACTTGACAGCCACCGGGTTTACCACCTTGGAGATGGGAAAGGGGCTTATGAACAAATGTGCCAACTTTCTGCAGTCTAAACGCAGAGGAAGGTCCTTGGTGGACAGCCAAACCTTTTGACCTTCCTGGTAGTTGGGTGCAGGGATTCTGTGACGGTTGGCTGCCCCCGTGTAGGCTGCTGAGGACTTCAGAAGTTGGACTCGAGCCTTGGTCCAAACTGTACGGCACCTCTGGGCGGCTTGGTATGCTGATGGGACTATGGTAGCCCAATCTTGGGTGGCAAACACCGGTGGCTGATATCCATACAGGACATAGAAGGGGGACAGACCAGTGGTGGTGGAGGCTATGGAGTTCATGGCGTGTTCTACAATGGGGAGATGTTCTGCCCATTTCGTGCCATCATCACCACACAGGATGCGCAGACGGGTCTCCATTTCTTGGTTGGCACGCTCCGTTTGGCCATCTGTCTGGGGGTGGAAACCTGAAGACAAACTTAGTTCAATGCCCAGGGTTTTACAGAATTCTGTCCAAATGAACTGAGGGCCATGGTCAGACACAATGTTCTTAGGAATCCTGTGTAACCTGAAAACTTCTAGTAGCATGATTGTGCTTAGTTCTTTAGCTGAGGGTAGCTTCTCCAGGGCTACTAAGTGAACCATTTTAGTAAATCTGTCTACTATGGTAAGAATGACAGACTTCCCCCCAGACTGTGGCAGACCAGTGACGAAGTCCATGGCGATATGGGACCAGGGACATGAAGGTATGGGAAGCGGCCTCAGGAGACCCGCTGGAGGTCGGTGAGAGGGTTTGGTCAGGGAGCATTGGGTGCAAGACCCAATGAAATCTCTAACGTCCTTTTTCAAGGAACCCCACCAGAACTGAGACTTGACTATACCTATTGTCTTATCTATGCCCGGATGGCAAAACAGTGGAGATGCGTGACAAAAGGTGAGTACCTTAGACACAAGATGATCTGGTACACGGAGTAGGCCATCCGGGCATTCACTTGGTGGTGGATGGTTCAGGTGGGCCTCCCTGACCTCTCTCTCGACCTGTGTGATGGCAAGACAGACCTTCTCCGGAAGGATGAATCCATTGGGACCACTGGTCTGTTCCTTCTTGAAGATCTGGGAAAGAGAGTCTGGCTTGACATTCTTGGCCCCGGGTCTGTATGACAGGGAGAAATTAAAATGGCCAATAAACAGAGCCCACCTGGCCTGACTAGGGTTGAGCCTCTTAGCTGACCGTAGGTACTCCAAGTTCTTGTGATCAGTCAGGACGATGAAAGGATGATTAGCCCCCTTCAACCAATGGCACCATTCCTCCAATGCCATCTTGACTGCTAGGAGCTTGCAGTCTCCTACATCATAATTGCGTTCTGCTGGGGAGAGTGACTTGGAATAAAAGGCACATGGGTGAACCTTGTTATTGTTGGTACGTTGACTGAGAACAGCACCTAACCCCGTATCAGAGGCACCAACTTCAACAATGAACTGTTTACTAGTGTCTGGAAATCTTAAAATAGGTGCTGTGGTGAAAAAGGTCTTTAGTTTTAAAAAAGCCTGGTTAGCCCCCTCATTCCATTTAAAGGGTTTTTGATGGAAGTAAGTAGGGCTGGGCTATATGATCAAAATTTTATATCACGTTATTTTCAACATTTTCACCGGTTTCACGGTATTTGACGGTATTTTTCTTTTCATCACAGCTCAGCTGATAATAAAATGTACAAACCCTGCTTATTGACTTTTTTTCTTTTACTGTACCTCTGTCTGTGTCTCTGTTTCCCTCCTCTGTGTCTGTTCTTCTCTGACTGGTGGTTGGAGACAGTAGTCATGCATTTTGATCCAGTCGTGAAGGAGGAGGGTTAAGAAAAGATTATGATTGGGTTTATTGTTTTGTGTTATTTATTAAAGCTTATC